ATCATTAAAGTTATAGAAAAATTTGAGTAAAATGAGTAAGCGGAGGGTTCATGAACCTCAAATAGGAATTTGACATTGCACTCAGCTTTATATTTTTAAACCTAACTAACATGAATCGGACACAATGCAGATACTCACTTCGTAGTGTTTAAATGTCAACGACAAAATTTATTCCAGGTAAAGTTTCAAGTGATAATTGATGACACAAAAACGCAAGAAGTAGTTTTTGATGGAAGAACCACTAACAATATTAACTGGTTCACAGCCTCAAGAATCCTAAGTTCTACATGGCAGGATGTGACATCCAATGGAGAATTCAATTATTTTACCCTAGAGGGACATCAAGAGTTATATTATTTATTATTATATTTTCATGTTAAATACTAAATTCTGATTGGTTTAGACGCAGTTAACAATCCGTTCTATTACATGTACCCTCAGCCTTAGCAATGCACTTGACAACTGATAACACAACGGTAATGCCACATGGTAATTATGCGCGTACGGTTCACCGTAGAATTCTAAAAGCGTCAGTTGCGTGTTTGAAAGAACCAGAATAAAACTGACGTCATTAAAAGCTTGTGTCCGATGTAGCTTACTTGTAAACAACAACGACAGACGAATTCGAAACATGCATGTAAGTGCAGAAATAACAAAACTTTAGATGACACAGGACTATTACTAGTTACGGTATCAGACAAACAATAAAGAGTTCAGTAAATCTTTTTCGAAATAGCGGGGAGTTTGAAAGATTTTTAAACGTGAATATAAAGACGATCGATGATTTTTTTACCGACATCCTAAATCAACAAGACATTTAGTATAATAAAATAAATGGTGCCTGTTTTGGAGGGCAACAGTCGAAATTGACACCCCTCGGAAAACAATACAATGTAGTTTTACTTGGGGTGTCAATTTCAACGGTTACCCTCCAAAACGGCACCATTTATATATTATTTTTGCCTAAATCTCCTCTCAAAAACAGAAACAGACCAGTGACAGGATTTTTTTATTAAAATATTCATTGTCAATAACGTTCAACAATATCTAGGCAATTCTTTCTCAGAAGCCCAGTGTTAATAACTCACCTGGGCTACAAGGAGCTCTCTGGATCGGTATTGTTGTTTTTACTTTAATATTTAATCACAGATTTATATATATGAGTAAGAGAAGGGGGATAATACATACTATATATTATTGCTTACATTTCATATCAATTCATGAGCAAAGGTATATAATTAAAAACCAATGACAGATATTTTCATTTCATTTATATATAGTATATATTTACTTATGTAATTATCCATTTAATTAATTAATTTATCAGAGGTACATGATATCTGTTTTTATGTTAAATTTGTATTGGAATATTAATATAATTCTTCCATAACATGCAAATAGTTCGTGTAATCAAAAGGTATTTCAGTATTGTTTTTAATAAAAAGCCAGTCTATGGCAAATTAGTTTTCTATCTCAGTATTAATATTTACAACTTGAAATAACTATTTAAATATTTTAAATATATAAATATATCTGAGTTAATATAAATTTGGAAATATTGTATAAATTAAAAACAGTTGCCAAATATACGCAGTATGCAGAAAAAAATATTTTATGTAGCTGAGGGTACATGTAGCAGTGACAAAATTCCCTCGAGATGTTTATTGTCTCTCGAAAGACACCTCAAATTGATAATAGGTTTTTGGAACGTTCTTGGGTTTGTTAAATTATTCAAAAATAAAAGCAGGAGATCAGTATAGTTTGTTTCTAAGAGGGACTTTTTTTGAAAACATTCGCTACCACTTTCTTGACAAAATATATTAATAAGGAGAACACCAATAGTCTACGTTAAAAGATATTGGAAATGAAGTTGGTACTGGTGATGTTCTTTGTTATCAGTAAGCTTACTGGCAAGAAGTCTAAAACTACATAAAAGTATAAAAATATATCTTCAAGCGACATATTCCTTTGAGCAGTGATGCCATACCAGTAATCATTGTATAAATACTTCACATTGTGTCTTCAATAATAATAAATAAGTTTAATTAAAGTAAACCTGTTTTTTGACGTGACCAAAAATGGTCTGATGAACATTTTTATAAGTTGTATTTTTAATTCATTGTAGAAACTGTAAATCGTCAATTTTATATCTCCCGTGAACATGCTGGTTGTCCTAATGACAAGGGATGGTTCGCTTCTTCTTTTTACCCAAAGATTGGATGTGACTTTGATAACATAGGAGGAAAATTTCCCGCTTTTGTTGCTTGTCCCAAAACAACACACTGCGTAATGGAGTCAGGTAAAGTAGCATAAACTACTGTTAAATAGCGTATTATTGTGGAGTCTGTTTTTTGCTGTTTTAGAAAAAAATCCTTTCCTTTGGTATGGATTTCGTTGATAAAAAGCTGCTGAGTTGTTATAATCTATGAAATTTTACAATTCGTTGGGGACATGGAATTGTGGATCTTATCATGCCTAGAAAACCAAAAAACAAACAAAACAAAAACAAAACAAAACAAACAAAACTAACAAACAAACAAACAAAAAAAAAACAACCAAAACCCGCAGAAAAATTATTTTTCACACTACCTAAATCAAAACGTTTCAATTTCTAACATTTGCATCGTTCTAAATATTATATACTTTTCAATATACAGATTAGATATTGATATTTTTTTATGCATTCTGCATACAGATTCCTTTGGTTGTGCAATTAGGTGATCGGATATATGTCATGAATAGTTTTGTCTTTTAAAACAAAAAAATGGCTCATTGCTTTTTAAAAACCTGCCTGAAATGTGTAATCTGAATGTATGATTTGACTAAACAAATATAAAATTGTCTTTTATTATATTTGATTTCTATTATTTTAGAGGCTGTCAACGCTCAGGCTATTGCTATATGGATTAAAGCGGACAATTGAAGGGTTGCAGACATCAAGACAAAGAATGAAAACTGTATATTTCTTCGAATAAATCAACATGTTCTGAAATAATCTGTGAAATTCCCTTGATATCTTTTCTTTCTATACTTACCTGTAATGTAACATGGTAAAGTTTTGTTTCGCCATTTCTGCATATTCTGCCAACAAGCAAGTAAAATCATATTGCGTGGATTTGTGTAATTGTTAGAGCTGTTTGCCTATTTTAAATTTTGAAAGTAAAATTTGTTGTTTGGCTTCTCTGATAATATGAAGTTAATATTGATATCTTGACATTTTGTTTGGAAAATCTTAATTTCCATGGCACTTGATCGCACCTCTGATTTTTTTAAGGTCCATGTTTGTTTTGCTCCAATTTTGTCATTTTAATGGGCTTTAAAGCTTAAATACTCCATATATATCATTAAAAGCCTTCAATTTGAATTCTTTAGCCGATTAAGATAAATAAAAAGCTGTGTTTTATGCACTTAAAGAGATTACATAGATTATATCTTAGTTTCGTATGCGTAATCAGGAAGATAAAATTTTTAAATTGACTATATTTGCAATATCCAAGTATAAATTATCGTTGGTGGAATACTGAAATCCTATACATTTTCAAGTAGATAAAATGTATTATAAGGCGAATTATTGTGTGCAATTTTCTTGTCTACTGATTGTTGTTAATAATTTTGAAGAATTAAATTGTATTGGTATATAAGAATTTTTCAAAAGTACACTTAATTTAACATTTGTAAAAAAAAAAAGCTGGAACAAATTAAAAGAAATCCAAGTTTGCAACATGTCATATATACATGTACATGTATTTATGCTTTCTATAGAATTTTTTTTCCAGTAGAACACAGATCACAAGGACAGATTGTAACATCCAAAAGTCTTCAATAAAAATATCTTGTATTACACATGTATGTGCTTTTCAATTTTTCTACACGCACAAAACAATACATATATACAATGGGATTGGGCACAAGTTCTCAAAACTTGTTTCGCCCTCTCCCCTCATGGAAAGTTAGTAAAGTTTAAGCTACATGTGTGTTACACAGTTTTAGAAAAATATTAATAAATTCACAACATGACATCTTATTAAAAATAACTGCAAGAACGTGTGTGATGTACAAATGCTATGCACACTCATGTACAAAATATCATCTGAATCTGCCTGACTGCTGAATATATGAATGTACAATGGAAAAAAGATATTCATTTTCAGAAACACTTAAAGAAATCACTGTTATCATTATTCATAGCCACCTTATAAAATTTGTCAATTTTAGAATTATATAAAAGCTATATTTTGGAAAAACCATTCTGAGTTTTCTAAAATATAAATAAATATTGTTAACCTATCTAGTATTAACAACAATATTTGGCGAATTGACAGTCTTTGCAATAAAATACTCATTTAGTTCTCACGACCAAGCTGAAAAGGAAGTTCAATATAGCACACAAAGTACAACAAAAACTCAACATGATTACGGTCCACTTATCCGTGATCACGTGATGAAAATATCTAAAGTCAACGTGCCATCCATACTAAATTTCGAATTGTAGAAAAACGTTCCTATGGACCCTCATTTACTTGTGTTCAATGATATGAAAACTATTCAAATAGCTCAAATGGATACCTTTTTTCATTAATTATTTACAAAATGTCCTTTGCGTTTTCACATTTTTGTGAACGTATGACAACTGGGACGTAAACATTTTATATATGCGTTTATCATGATGCACCTGATGTAATTACCCAATAAAAGCATAGCGTTGATCAGTGTTAGTTCTTTACATAGTATGGGAAAAGGTTACAGGGCATATTCTATAGGAAGAGGAAAGCAAGGCATATCTTATCTTACATCACTACAATGTCGTCGATAAAGAAGAATAGTACGATAGGTATGAGAGTTCTACGATTGTAAAATATCAGTGTATCATTTTGAAAAAAAAAACACATCAAAATTAACATGGATTATGCATTTTAAATACCAGTAGGCTATTTTAGCTAATTTTGTATATGTCAATATATTTGCTTCCATATTTAATATAAATTCTTTTACTAATGTAGGTGGGAAGAATTATAAAGGTGGAGTACAAAAGCAGAAATTAACGATTATTTCTTTACTCCTTGGAGTATTCTTGACAGTTGCCGTGATAGCTTTTATAACGCTTTTGCTCATACATCTTAAAGGTAAGAATTGCAGTAGATTCATCTGATTACCCCTTGGCCTAAATATACAGATGTAATTCCTTTTGCTATTGTTGTTCTTTGATGGCATTATCATTTGACACTATTTGCAACTCACCCAGAATGGACTTTTGAATGTCTTCCTCTTATGTTTTTATTTAAGAAAAAGACCGCAACTGTGATATATGAATACTGATGATTCAACAAAATAATATCATTTATAAGCATGAATTAATGAATGAGTGGCTCTTGTACTTATTTAGAGCCGTGGTCGTTAGAGTTAATGTCCTATCTCTGATTATAAAAAAATATTAAAATTTATATATATATCTATTCTTATGTATGTTTTCTACATTTGAGAAATCTAATCAATTGATACAGTGTATTTTTAAATATTCTTACTTTAATCACATTTAGTAAATGGTTTTTACACAATAGCTTTTACAAATTAGTTCCTAAAGCTGATGTATGTGACAGCCATAATTGCCAGTACGGAATCTGTGTAGCAGACCAGACCAGATTGCGAGGCTACACGTGTAACTGCACGCTTGGTTATGTCGGGGACAATTGTGAAGGTAAACACCTAATACTGTCTGCCGTGTAATGGCTCCGAAAAAATAACATAACATTCAATATGTTTGGGTATCAAGTGCGAATTGATATACTGTTTTATAATTCATTAAATATAGCAGGAAAAGAACTGGTGCACATTCAGTAGTTGCCTCTTTAGTTACTTTAGAAGTTCAATCAATGTGGTATTAATTTACGCTATGTACGCGCTCAGAAATTTTCCGCGGAAATTCGTCCCATTGATCTTAATACACATAAAAGGCATATAATGAGAGTCTTATCAACGGATTGAACAGAAATAGAGAGTCCGTGGAATTATGACCAGGAGGAAAAAAAGTGTGTCTACAGTATTTTTGGAAATAAGGCTGAAATTACAAATCTACAGATGATTTACATGTAATATAAATTTTTGAAGTTTTATAAATTGACTCAACGATATATTATTAAATTGAAACCCTTTATCTGAGATTAAGTCAACAAAATATTCAGGAGTAGGTGATGGTTATCACGTTTTAAATCCCTGAATAAGAAAAAGACAAGCCGTCACGATGAAAAAAACTAGAGGTACTGTGAGCAATTCCCCTTGCAATTTACAAGGAAAAAAAAATAATGACGGCAAGTTGTCCTTAATTAGGAGCGAGTTGTCTTTATAAGTGTTGGGTACGACTTGTCTTGAGGACGAGCTGTCCTAGTTCGAGTCAAGTATTAACGCAGAAATACGTCTTTGAAAAATATATTGATTGATTGATTGTATACTGTTTAACGTCCCTCTCAAGAATAGTTCACTGATATGGAGACGTCACCATTGCCGGTGAAGGGCTGCAAATTTAGGCCTATGCTTGGCACTTTCGGCCTTTGAGCCGGGAGGGAAGCGAGAACTGAGAGCTAAAACACGACGCTATCTTGCGAATTTTGCGAATTTATTCATGTCACACTACATTAGACATTCCTGCCATGACTAATTATCAATAACTATATGACAATCAATTCCATGCTTAAATATGTATATTTGCCAACCCAGCAGGCGCTCATACGTGTTAAAACGTCGAGAGTAAGTTGAAAATAAGTTGCAACGTTTAGTTACTATATTTCATATGGTATATGGAATATAAGCTGCAATGTTGAGCAACTATATTTCAAAGTTGTTTCAATGTTGGGGCTTCAACGTATAATCCTTAATTATATAACTTGAATCAACATTGAGTTTGCAACATAGTTTGAACGTTGAATGTTCCTCGGTGTTTTAATGAGGAAAAAATGTGGAGTATTCAGAATATATTTAGCGTAGAATTTTTCGTGTTAATTCAATGTTGAAACGACAATGTTCAATGTTGAATGATTTATACGATACAAATGGAAACTACAGAATAAGAATTAAAAATTTTAAAATACAAATGATTTTTTTACAATATGAAATAAAAATTATACAATGCAAATGAAAAAAAAATATACAATGCATTTTTGAAAAAAGTATGAAATACAAATGCAAAAGATTGAATGTTGCAACGTTTTACTTGCCATACTATTTTAGCACCATGATTAAAATTTACATAATTTAAATATTTGTTCATATAGTTGATGCATGTTATAGCAATGGTTGTAAGAATGGGACGTGTGTGGCGGATCAATCAAGGATAAGAGGATACAAGTGTAATTGTACCATTGGCTTTGACGGGGAAAATTGTCAAGGTAAATTGTATATAACTTTCATTGTAACAAGTCTCGAACTAACTTTTATGATTTAAAAAAAAAATTTGATTTCAAATATTATCTATACTGTGATATTATTAATTTTCCTCTTCAGTCTGATTCGGAAAGGAAGTGAAACTATTATGTATTAAATGTTGGATTAAACGTTCTTTTTTCAGAATTCATTGATGTGTTAACTCATAAACGCTTATTACTAACTAACTGAATAAAAGTGCAACTTTTATGTTAATATTGCGAGTACAAAGGCATGAATTTACACATCGATAACTTCTGAATAAAAAGAACGTCTAGTTTTTTTTCTGATAATACCATTTACGAATGCTTAAAATTATTACTTTTTAAAGCCTCAATACAATCTGATATTTTTGTACTTCGTACAAATACATGTACTTTATACAGCAATGTATGAATGTACGTAATCGAGATGAGGGTCGATTAAATTCAACTAAAAATTTCCAACAATCAATAAAATACAGGAGTAGTTCCTCGAATATTGTTTTAGTCAACAAATATTGTAAATACGCGTATACTTCAGAATAATGTGTCCTTGATCATGTGTTGACCATGTTGAAAGTAACAAAAACCCTCTTAAACGAAAGTAGCAGACATCCTTCATTTGCTCTGGTTTGTAGAAATATGAAACAGAAAAAAGATGTAAAAATATAAATTTGATGCTAAAGAGGCAAGAGTGTGAGATAAGTATCTTTTCCCTGTCACAACGCTACCGAGAATTGAGATTATTTGCTTTTAAATGTAAGGATATGGAGATAACGAACAGTAATCAATATCAAAGTCCATAAAAGAATACAAAATAGGAGCATAACAAACACGGACCTCCAAAACATCAGAGTGGGATCAGGTACCATGGAGGAGCGAACATCCCCTGCTGACCGGTCACACCCGCCGTGTGCTCCTTGTCATGGTCGTGAAATAACGGAAAAATCCGTCCGACTCGTTAATTCATTGTATAAATAATGGACTTACAATTGGTATGGAAAACGTCCATCAGCAATTGACTCAATAATTAATTGTATTTGCTGACACGTTCATTGTCTCGACCATAGAACTTATGAAATGATGGCATTAAACATGACTGCTGATATTCTTGTTTCATTCTTGTTTCATCAACTCGACAAGGTCGACAATATGACTTCAGAGAATTTTCAAAATCATACTCGTGATATGACTGTGAAATAAGCAGATTAATATTATATTCCTGTCTTTCAGCCCTGTTTGTAGCTAGATTATAATTTCGTATAATTTAAATAACGGACTAGAAGTAACTGTTTTTTTTTATTTTTATTTTACAATAATAGCATAAAACAAGGTCAAGAATGTTGTTTTGATTGAAAAAAATATTGATGTGTACTTTTTCCTGAGTTTGTTCTCATTCAATCACAACACAGTGAATAATCGGATTTGAATTAATGCATGCTATTTATTTACTCTGAAGGTACTATAGTTCATTAGTGCAGTTTTGAAATAAATCACAAAATTAACTGATAACATTTCTTTAATAATATAGGTAACCAATATTTTATTGCATTTCTAATAAATGTGTTCACTTGGCAATTTGTTTTTTAACCGGGATAATAAAACAGTACAAAAAATACCGAGAGAGTTGCAGTTTCAAAAGCAGACTCATTTACTGATGGAATGTTTCAAATATTCCGAACTCCTTTGATAATCTAATTTCACTGTGTTTAAGTTTTTATTGATTCTTCCCATATAAAGAAAGATGGTTATATAAGAATGGGTTTTTAGAAATCGTTGTAAATAGATTCCTCTCTGATTTGCCATGTGTTAGTCACACGATATTTCTAAGCCAAACAAGTGCCTTCTAACTATATACTCGCCTATAAGTCGGTCTGCCTATAAGTCAGTTATATTTCTTGAGGTTATTTTGCAGGTATTTGCCATTGACCTGCTTACATGTCGGTACAACTTTTCACAAGGATCAGATGACAATTTAAAATAAATGTTTTAATGTTTTAAACTAGTTTTAATTAATACTTTTAGAAATGAAGATTGGTTTTAAACTTTAAATCATTGAAAAAAAAAATAATACCCTTTTATGTTTAAAAAATAAAATTATTAATTAAATTTATGCACTACATAAATACTTGAAATAAATGTATAATCTTAGAATACAAACACGATATAATAAATCCAGACTTTGTTCACTGATAACTGTTGAAAATATTTATAGAATACTGCGTTTCGCCGTCCAGAAAAATACTAGTCTTTTATGAATCGCCTATAAGTTTGACAGAGACTTTTGGACCAAAAAATTAACGCCCAAAATTCCGACTTATAGGCGAGTATATACGGTATATGTATTATTTGCACTTGGAGGGTTGATTAAACCGCGATATTTAATTTCGCGATAAATAATTCCCCGCATATAATTAGGAAACCTTAGTAATTTGAGATAATGTTTCTTGATGTAACTAAATTTTACTGTTTAAGAAATGGACAAATGTGAAGAAGAGAAAAACAGATTAAGGATCGGGTTGAAGGAGGCGCAAAAACCTGGTCAGTAGATATTTTAATAATCTTTTTATAAGTACCCGAGAAAGGCATTTGTGAAATCGTACATTGAAGATTAAATTCATTTGATAATTCAATGGTATTTTTCTCTTCAAGAACAAAGGACCATAATACTTTGCGAGTCGGAGAACGGAGAAATCCGTTGTGAGAACACAAAAAGACTAAAAATAGAGTCTGCCAATTATGGTCGCACCGAAGCTGCTGTGTGTCCTGGCACAAATGACGGTAATACTAACTGCCGCTTAGATGTACTGGGCAAGTTATCAGAAAAATGTGATAATGAAACTCGCTGCCCTGTTCCATCTAGATGGGAAGACTTAGGCGGAGTGGACCCTTGTTTTGGGACTTACAAATACGTTGAAGTCACTTACAATTGTTCTTAAATATTGAACCATAATGTGTAAAACAATAAATAACATATCTCTAAATAAAATAATATTTTGTGTAATTATAACTATTTTCTATTTTGTTTCACTTTTTTAACCTTTATCTATGAAATATATCTTTATGACCACGATTTTTTGCCTTGAAATTTCATTTTGTCTCAAGAATTATTCATCATATAAATGATATCACTGTCGTCGTACATGGAATAAGGGTAGTGTAAACGCACAATTATTTGCGTGCGAGAAAAATATCCGCGAGTTCTGCAACCTAGACTAACTAGCGAATATTAATCGCCGCGAACCGTTTGTTTCCTTAGGTATTTGTAGAGAAGGTTTTCTGAGTCTCGAAAATTAATCGCCGCAGATTGAATTCAAATTGACTAATCGCTAATAAAAGAGTAAGCGAATAATATTTAGTTTAGAGCAAAGGATTCAAATTCCTCGAACCGTCCTCTGCAGATGATATCACTTAAACAAATAGTTCGACTCACTTCCATAAATAGAATCACTAATATCACCTAATCAAAATACAATGTATATCTATTTATTGCTGGCAATGGTAGATTGTGTATGTCATACAGAGGGAGGTGTACAAGAACACAGATGTTGGCATAGTATTGGGGTTTTAAATTGCATAACTTGTAACACTAAAACGACGGGAGTTAGAAGTTCTGGTCATTTGATCATTTTTGATTTGTGGATTTTTCTGCCAATTTGTACCAAACTCCTATAACGTCCTGTGATAATGTAACACAAAATTCGTTATTAAATTTCCGAACAAATGCTAGCCGTTTCCTACTGTTTGTAAAATTGGAAGCATTCCGAAATATGCTGTGGTCTTGACGAGTAACAAAAAAAAAGATGGAATGTTTGGTAAAGATTTTTTTTACTATATAGCAAGTTCCTTTTGTAAAAATTCAGTGATAAATAAAATGTGCAAATCAAATTGTAGTCAAATGTTTCTTTAAGAAATTATAGGCAAGTAGTAGGAGAGATTGAGAGAGTGATTTTGATGTCTAGTCGTTTTTTTTGTTACGACACGAAAATGCGTATGATTGTTTTTAACGGGACGCACATCATTAATGTGAGCTGCATTCTCTTTTTAATAGAAAAACTTGCTGCAGGTAAAATTCTGATTTTAAAGCTAAAATGTGTCACCCCCTTATATTTCAAAATTGCTTAAGATATAAATTTTATAAATTAGATATAAATTAAAAATAGACTTTTAAGAGATCATAGAACATGCAATGTGCAGAATCACTATTTTATGTGTCGTCAGTTCTTGCATTCGCCACTTAAAACGATTTCATTATGCTAATTTTTTCAACTTCTTTGTTTTTTGAAATATTTTTCTTTGACGTAAGTAAGATTTTTAGAGACTTTTTTGAGAATGCTAAATATGTAATCTCTTTTAGAATCGAAAGAGCTAATCTCGAGATATTCACATTTTTTAATTTGGCTTCGGTCCCTGGGTTCAAACCAATGTTTGTCTGAAATTTATTTCATCACCTTTTCAGATCGATTTTCTTGTTTTTTTTTTCCGAAATTGGACGGAAAATTTCTTATTGCTCGCAATGAGTCTCTAGTTATTCCCCCCAAGAAATCTGCGATTTCTCGAAAATATTTAGTGGTTTTAAGGGGGCCGACTATAGTTTTTTTGCGGGAAAACTACAATAGCGAAATTCTTTATTTTTATATCATATATTACTTACACTTGTATTGATATATATACACAGTTTCAGCAAAATCTACCGTCTGGTTATTTTAGGGGGACCATCTCAAAATTCAGGTACTTTTACTATAGGATTATATAGGAAATTGTCATTTTTTGGCACATCGAAGCAAATTTAAAAAATACTACAATAGACTTTTCGTTCAAATCGTAGTATGTAGTGAGGAATGCTACATTCTACATTATATGTACTTAACATCAAATTCTACCGTCTGGTTTTCAAAAGGGGGCATCTCAAAACCTAAAATTTTAGCAAAAATTCCCAATGCGATAAGATATTATTGCATTTTTTATTAGAATTTATTAAGATTTAATTCAATATTGGGAAATATATTACTTAGATTATTTTTTTTATCATTTGCATGTAAAATAAAAACAAAAAAACTACATGATATCATGACGGGGGTGTCTCAAAATTGGACTTGAGCCATTTTCAAACAGATTTTAGCATTTGACGTTAACATTGCAGTATACATGACGTCACAATGCATTTAGAATGTCAATACAGACAGAATGGTTTTTAGTGCATTGAAGAATAAACCTATCTTTATTATATGTTACATCTGGTCACTGCTAGGGGTAGTTGCAGGATATATGTATATCGAAATGAATGTACACCAACATTTTCATCAAGCTGGATAAAGCAATTATAAAATCACATATTTTTACATGTTTTATTTTACTGATAAATTTTAGTGGTAATTTTGTTATAAAAAATCTGTAATCACATTTTGTTGATTGAATACTGCCTGTTCTGTTCTTTAAAAATCGAAATACATGAACATAGGTGTCGGAACTGGGTAGGACTAAGCTCCCCCCCCTCCTTTTTTTGTTTGCAAAAATAGACATTATATAGGCATGGAAATTTATGATTTACTTTCTTTCGTTGGTTTAGCCCCCACTTTCGATTAGCGGCCCCCTTCTTCAATTTGCTTCTGACGCCCATGAATGAATGAAGTATACCTGTACTGATGCAGCTCTGTTTTCAGTAGTTATTTTTTTTTTATGGTTTGAGATATCCTTCAAAATGACATATTCTCTATACCTCTACAATGATTTGCATAAATCACTTAGCTTAAGACTCTAAACTGCATAATTTTTGAAAAGGGTCATTTCAAAATTCGGAAATGTTTAGACCATAATCCATTGGATATCATAATATCAACTGTTCTAGGAATGAAAGCACTATCAGAGCTAGTGGCGTCCTTATCACTGAAGAAACGTCATGCATGCAGAGCTGAAAATCTGCTTCGAGCACTTGGAGAAACTGTGCATTGACGTAGCATTGTTTTTCAATTTGAAAGTGAGGGGGCCAGCCAGAGAATTCTTTTTTTATACCTGCCTGGAAAAGTTGACAAGAAGGGGGGATTTCCCAGTAGGGGTGGGGATGGGGGGTTGAGACCATCTTTTTTCAATGCCAACTTCTTCCGGTACCATTGCAGCCTACAATACTAAAGTTGGGGGGGGGGGGCAGTCTTTACAATGAGCATTTCCAATAGTCAAGGGTAATGTTGGGATAACACGGGAGCCCCCCCCCCCCCCTTTGCTACGTGCCTGCTATATCACAATAGGTTCAGAAAACGGGCACTCTGTCTGCCAACAAGATTTCCAGAATAACGGGCCTCATAAAAAAAGAGTGTTTTATATGATTGATAAAACAAAGAAATATGTCATTGTACACATACAAGAATTTATATGTACGTTTATTTTTTATCTTTTGTTCATTTATTTTTACATGTATTTTTGTAAAATAATGTTACCCAAAAAATAAATGAAATCACTTGTACATGTAATATATATATTCATACTATACACAATTAATTCCTGGGATACATTCTTTTCTAAATACTTTATATCTTTCTCTAACTATATAAATATTATGACAAAGCCTCCATTATCTCCTTTATACATGTAATCTCTATATATTATGACCTCCATTAATTATATACCCTATATTAAGTAGTAATTTATTTTCAAAACTAGAAATATGTCCATAGGACATGAATGCCCCAGCAAAGGTATAATAATAATGCAACATAAAATTTTGCATTAGTGTATGAAATTTGATCAGAATATCTTGAAGTTAAGGTCAAGGGAAAGGTCAATGTAAAAATATGTTGCAGTTGATAAGGCTTACATTAGAATTTAAATGTATTAGCATATGAAATTGAAAAAAATATTATGAATGGTTTCTTTAAAATTGACTAACTAAAACACAAATTGATAAAAGTGAGGTCAAGGTCAGATGAGTTGCTTAGCTCTCATCATTATTTATCAGCAAATGAAGCTTGATGAAAATATCTATTATAGTTTCTTTGAAACTGAGCCTCAAAGTGAGGTAAACGCAAAGCGTGACGGAAGGATGGAAGACAGACATGACAAACACTATATGCCCCGGCCATATTCATTGCGGGGCATAAAAAAATACATTAGGAAACATCGGAAAACTTAAATTCATTAAAATCATCATAGTTTGATTCTACGTTTCTTAATCCTCCTTCATATTAATGTATTAATTATCTACATATAATACAGGTCATATATAATAAAGCAATCTTTGAAATATACACATACATTTTTATGCTAACATATTTTGACAGAGACATTTTATACTTCCATTCCATGTTTCCAAACTCAAGTTTCTTTGCAAATACATCTTTTTTTTCCCAGTCATATTACAAGTCACTTCTACATGCATAGGAAATCCCTAGTAAACCATATTCTTTAACATGTATACATACAATGCATTATAACAATCATGACCAAGAAGCATAATATTCAATTACTGTGCGAAGTAGTCCACCAATTTTTTAACAACTTTCTGGCATTTACTTACTCGTGGTTTACCTGTTACAGCATCTCTCTCACTAAGAAGGGCATGAACCCCATCATACCCATCTCTTTCAAATGCAAGTTTCAGACAATCATAAGTAAGTGATGAGGCTAAAACTTTTTTGGCTATTGCTTTTGATAGAACTTTCTTAGCACACAAATACTCAATAGTACAAGATGCATGTTCAACACCATGGCCAGTAATTTGACTTACACTAAAGAAAAATGTATCAAAAAGCATTCCCTCTGAAGATGTTTCCTTTACCAATTTCTGCAGCATGTTACAGTCCTCTAAGGCATCATGAGCAGAATATTTCTCATGTAACAATTTAACAGCTAACGTTGTCTGTTTATAGTTTTGAAATTCTGGATGAAGCCTTTTGAAAAAAGGTAAAGTATCACTGAAGCCAATCACAAGCTCGCAAAAATACTTCCAAAGACTCTGTAATACTAACTGATTATACAGAATAATACAGTCAAAATTTCTACAGTTATGAGCAACAAGAACGATATTTTCCTTCAGAGGTCTAAGGAAATCAATAAAATTCAACAGAACATTCATGATATGATTGTGTTCCACTACAGTGCCATACTGTGTCATTTGGTTAGTGCTGGAGTCAAATCTGATCCCAGTGACTGCCTCTGCCTCTGCTGATATAGGCTGTGTGGGAGTAACAAACTCACTGAAGACTACTTCACCATACACAGCAGATATCTGGGTAATAGAAGATGTCCTTGCTGTAAAAAAAATTAAATTAATGTGATTGCAATACAAAAAAACAAGAGGTCCATGGGTCACATCACTCACCTGAGTAACTTAAATACCAGATTTACCCATTGTAATACATGTACCTATTGTGGCCCCATCATACCACCAGACGTCATAATTTGGTCAATTTATATAATCTATATTACCCAACATTGCTTCCACATTGCTGGCCAAGTGGTTCTTTTAAGATTTTTCCTACATATTTCAATGTAAAACTTGGGATTCCTTATTGTGGCCCTGTCCTTCCATCTGGGGTTATGATTTGGAAAATATTATATATATCTTAAACTGATAACAATATGAAAATAAAAAAAAAATACCTAAGCCTGTCGTTTCCAAATTAAAGTAGACATACTTTGGTTTAAATCCAATTTCAGGGATTCTTCTTATGTCAGTTTCATTTGTTCCATCTAAAATGACACTCAAATTCTTTAATAAAGTTTACATTTCCAAATTTCAAATGATGTCATGACCAAGTCAAAGAATTCATAATATAAACAAGAGGCCCATTGGCCACATCGCTCACCTGAGAAGCTTTGACCATTCTGTTCTTTACCAGATTTCCTCCTTGTAATACATAATGCATCCCCACCCTACCTCACTGATCATAATTTAGACATTTTGAAATCTATACTACCCCAGGTTCCTTCCATGTGCACATAAGTTTCAGCTTTTCTGGCCCAGTGGTTCTTGAGAAGAAGATTTTTTAATGACCCTACCCTATTTTTGTCTTTTCTTGATTATCTCCCCTTGTGACGGGACTTGGCCATTTTCTTTAAGAATTTAAATTCCCGTTCACCCAAGGATGCTTTGTACCAAGTCTGGTCAAAATTGGTCCAGTGGTTCTTGAGAAGAAGTCAAAAATGTGAAAAATTTACAGACGGACAGACAGACGGACGGACGACGGACAAAATGTGATCAGAAAAGCTCACTTGAGCCTTCGGCTCAGGTGAGCTAAAAAATATATGACTGCCACTTCATAGAAGGGGAAGAACTTGAAACTGAATACTCAAGAAATTAAATTAATTTACAGAACATACCCATGATATTGGAACTATATGTATCTCCCTCCCTGACTTCTGCACTTCTTGTTTCCAGACTTCTTTCAGATTTTAACTGCAATCGTCTAAGCTGTATAAGAATATCATAGTATGAAAAAAAAAATTCCCCAAATTTTATTTAATTCTTTGGACTAAATGAAGCTTAATTATTTCAACCCAGGCCAAGTGGTTTATAAATAAGTGTGAACTGCCCCCAAGCTCTCTTTTACTGTAACTATATAACATAGATTAAATAAGCTTCATTCCTTATTATTTGATTTCAGTGTAAACAATAAGACACTTTTACCCCAAAATTGGCTTCAAATTGAGCATATTTTAAAAGTATAGATCATTAGATGTCAAGCGGAGTAATACGTTTTTGTCATAACTCATTGTGATGTAGGCAACTTACGTTATACAATATAAACTACATGTTTTATCCAATCAAATTGCATGTTACAACTAAAATTGATTTATTTTAACACACTCACTTTGAATTTCTTTGTTTTGGCCACTTTACGTTTTCTTTCCACATCTTTATCTCTTAGCCTAGCACACATTGTAGTTGCATTTCCTGGACTCAAACCAAGGTCTTCATTTACCTATTAAAAACAGGAAAAAATGAAATCTTGCAAAAAACTTTTACACAAATATTGACATACAAATTACTTTATCCCCTCACAACCAAGTCAGAGGGAATAAAGTTACGCACTTGAGTGAGGGTGTTTTAGTTTGTGTTTTTAAACATGGCCATTTGCAAAATAGAAGAGATTATATATAAATATATTAACTCAAGTATACCGGTAATTTGCATAAGGTTTGATGGCAATTAATTGCAACCTTGCAGTGCTTGTTTACAATATATTGATTGACATTAGGCCAATGATAAAATTAAAGATGATTTGTTTCATGTACTTTCTCGTAACTTCAACGGTGTGTGCTAAGTGCTAACTAATTAAGTTATGCAACTTAACTAAATTCGATGTGAATGTGAATTTTGATATTGGCTTTATGATGTTGCACTTTCATGGCGCTCAACATTTGTGACGTCGAAATAAAACACATTTTTTTACCTTCTGACCCCTTTTTGTATGTGTTATGGATAATAGGAAAGGGGAATAACTTCTCTAAATACATATGTAGTGTGTAAATTCCCCTACAAGATCAATTAAGCCCTTACCGGCACAATTAACACTAGACCATGTGGCCAGGGTTTAATCAATCTTGTTACATTACTTACACTTGCTTATAAAAACTTTGTACTTTGCTTACTGAATGCTAAGGGGCAGAGAATAAATTTCCAAAGCATTAATGGTTTTTAATTTCAAAGAAAAAATGCATTTTCATCATGAAATCCCCACCCAACTAATAGAACTTTTAACCCTGGGGCCAAGAATTTCACAATACAGTAAAACTTGTTTAGTACAAACACAGATATTGCAAATTCTGAATTCTTTATAAGATTTGCTGTATTAGTGTAGAAATCATTCTTCCTGTGTGGTATTAATTTATGCTATGTACGAATCTTAAGAAATCTGTGCAAAGTTCTACCTGCATATTAAACAGAAATAGAGATTTCGCAGAATTTGATCCTGTGGAAAAAGTACATTTATAGTTGTAGATGGTGACCAGTATCAATGGAATTACCTTGGAAATGTAACCATAGCCTTCGTTTTTTTGACTAACAGCAACTGCAAGCCGATTCTGTAGACTGCCACTTTCACTGTAGTGCTTGTCTTTGGGTGCTTTGGATCGAAGTATATTATCAAAACTTTCATTTGCATTAGTGCTGTCTAATTTGCTTAATTTCTGCACATCTAACTTTCTGAAAATTTTTAAAAGATCTTCTTTCAGTTGTTCATTCTTCAGATCAGCACTCCATGGTAAGTTTTTGTGCTTTTTGGATCCATCACTCTTCATTCTGCACCAGTTTCCACAGTTTTCATGGGTACCAAATTGATGAAGTACTACTGAATCCATGTTCTTTTTCATCAAATCAGTTGAACCCTTAGATTGTGCTAGCATGTACTCGAAGCTTTTGATAATAGCATTGATGGTTTTCACAGACATTTCTTTGAAGTTTCCTTTTAATTTAAACAGCTGATTGGAAATGTTTTTTTTAACATGATTGCTGTCACTGACTTTTTCCATCTCTTTAAAAACCTCATCTCTTGCCCGTTGAAATCCTGTTGTGTCATCATCCCCTATCAGTGTAGTAACTGTGGCATTCCTTTCCTTTACATCTTTAAGCATTTCCACCACCATATCAGCCTCCATTGACTTTGCTGACCCTGTCCAGTTTTTGACACATTTATGCTTCCTCGGGGTAACTTTCCTCTTTTTCGCAAGTGTGCAAGTTCTGCATCTTTTGGATTGTGAAGTAGCTGCAATAACTTTTCCAGTTCTTTTTCCTATAAGAGTTGCTGTACCTAAAACATTAAGAGAGTTAATTAATCAAGATATCTGTAATATTTCTCTTTAATTCTTTTAGCTGACATCCCGTCTGAAAGCTCACATAAGCTTTGCAATAAGCATCTCGTAAATGAATTTTCGGGGGTATATAGTTTTTGTCCTGTCCGTCCGTCTGTCTAGCTGTCTCTCCTTAACCTTTGCCATAATTTGAATGCTAAGGGCTTGTGATCTCATACTTCACATATGTAATCCTTGTGAGAATATCCTTCATTGGATACCTAGAACCTTGACCTTTGACCTTGTAGTTTGACCTACTTTTTAAAATTGTTAACCTTGGCCATACCTGAATGGTTAGGGCTATAGGGCTTCCATACTTTACATGTGTATTTTTTGTGGCAAGACTCTTGCCTAGAGGATTTCTGTACTTATTAAAAAACTTTAAACTTGGCCTACTTTCATATATCAAAATTGTGTTTCAAGTGAGAATATCGCCAAGGGTATCACACAAGCCCCCCCCCCCCCCTTCTTGAGGTGAGCTAAAAACCACTTGGTCAATTTTTACCATACAGTATCTCAAACATCATGAATAAGTCAGTGACTACAAATTCCCTACAATTTAATACTTTTAGCTTTGATATCTTCAATCCAAGGTTTCATCAATTTCAAAATAGATTCTTGTTCTACTGAATTATTAGCTATGTATATGTAGGTACCTGAAAGACTGTTGTGACTTTGTCCAGAACCTCTTTTTTGGTATGCCCCATCAGCAGAGGCAATAATGCCTGCAACATGGATATCTGGAGCAGATGAAATGAAATCAGGGTTACCATCTGAAAATAAAAAAAAATACAATATGTACTGAAAATCTTTTGAGGAAAATTGATATTTCAGATATGTGATAATGTAATTTAATTTTGGGATTTAATAATGGAAACTCCATTCAAGTTTAGTTTTAAGGAAGCTCTAAAAACTGCACAAAAAAGTGCTAGTTATATGGTTACTTTATGCAGTTAGAGTGATCTGCCCTTAGAAGTAAAATGAAAAAATGTAGCTTATATACAGTTAATTTCACAATATTTAACAGATAAAACTATTCTTAGCATTATATTAGAAAAAGAATATGTAAATGAATTAATTTTTCTCCATTTACTTTCCCTATCCCTAGGTAAATTTAAAAATAAACAACAGTCAGATTTCTGCTCATGAATTATAAAGTTTTTGCCTGCATAAATAAGGCAGGTAGCATATGTTGATAATTTACTGAATAGTCCCCTAATTTGCACACCTTTATATGATATATTTTTCTCCAAGTCCAAAAAGTACTTTTTATCAGTGTTTAGGGTTTCCTTAAATTTCAATCTCAGAAAAGCTTGTTTAAGGTAATGATTATGTAAAACATACATGTTTGTTGCATAAACCTTAAGTCAACTGTTGACAGTAACTCTGAGATTTTTGGTCTCATTCAATAATTTTTAGGAACATATAATTTCCACTCCTCTGGTGAAAGAGAATGGACACACTAGTACAGTAATATTGAAATTAATACTATACCTAGTACATGTATATTGATTTGTATTCCATTATGTATACCTGAAGGGCTGTAATAACTATGTTGAGACCATTGCTTTTGACATGTTTCATCCATCAAGGCAACACTGCCTTTCACATGCTCAGTAGTTGCATGGGGTGGATATCCATGGGGCAGATTTCTTGGGGCATTAGGATATATATTCCTATCTATACAAAAATAAAGCATAGCACTGTCAATATTTTCACAATGGTTTTTCAACTTTAAATTAAAATTAAAGCAATATATCAGATAAAATTCCCCTAAACTATCATGGCCTTTAAAGTTCATAATTCCTCTGCTCACTCATATGAAATTTTTCCTTAACTTTAATGATTTTCCAAAGGAAATGTCTATGCTGAATAAAATACAAACAATATAGCATTGCTTGCGGGGCAAAATTTGACAAAAATGGCACTTAAACTTGACAAATTTATAAAGAAATAATAGACATTTGTGTCATTAAGAGTTATCTCTCTTATCAGAGTATCAATGTACCTTAATTAACATGTACTAGATGGGTCTTTATGACTCTTGATTCTCACCTTGCAGGCAGGCTTCATCCACCAAGGCAACACTGCCTTTCACATGCTCAGTAGTTGCATGGGGTGGATATCCAAGGGGTGGATTTCTTGGGGCGGTAGGATACATAATCCCATCTATACAAAAATAAAGTACAGCACTGTCAATATTTTCACAATGGTTTTTAAATTTTGTAAAATCAGATAAGATTCCCCTAAATTGTAAAGGCCTTTAATCAACATATACCAGATGGGTCTTTATGACTCTTTTATTTCTCACCTTGCAGGCAGGTTTCATCCACCAAGGCAACACTGCCTTTCACATGCTCGGTAGTTGCATGGAATGGATATCCAAGGGGCAGATTTCCTAGGGCAGTAGGATGGATAATCCCATCTATACAAAAATAAAGCATAGCACTTTCAATATTTTCACAATGGTTTTTAACTTTACAACTCTGAAATTAAAACTATCAGATAAGATTCCTCTAAACTGTCATGGCCTTTAATAAAATTAACCTGTACAGATGGGTCTTTATGACTCTTGATTCTCACCTTGCAGGCAGGCTTCATCTGCCAAGGCAACACTGCCTTTCACATGCTCGGTATTTGCATGGGGTGGATATCCATGGGGCAGATTTACTAGGGCAGTAGGATGGATAATCCCATCTATAAAAAAAATAAAGCATAGCACTTTCAACATTTTCACAATGGTTTTTAAATTTTGCAATATCAGATAAGATTCCCCTAAATTGTTAAGGCCTTTAATCAACATATACCAGATGGGTCTTTATGACTCTTTTGATTCTCACCTTGCAGGCAGGCTTCATTCGCCAAGGCAACACTGCCTTTCACATGCTCAGTAGTTGCATGGGATGGATATGCATGGGGCGGAATTCTTGGGGTGTTAGGATACATATTCCCATCTATACAATATAAAGCATAGCACTGTCAATATTTTCACAATGGTTTTTAAATTTTGCAATATCAGATAAGATTCCCCTAAATTGTTATGGCCTTAAATTAACATGTACAAGATCGGTCTTTATGACTCTTTTGATTCTCACCTTGCAGGCAGGCTTCATCCGCCAAGACAACACTGCCTTTCACATGCTCAGTAGTTGCATGGGGTGGATATCCAAGGGGTGGATTTCTTGGGGCGGTAGGATACATATTCCCATCTATACAAAAATAAAGTATAGCACTGTCAATATTTTCACAATGGTTTTTAGATTTTGTAAAATCAGATAAGATTCCCCTAAATTGTTAAGGCCTTTAATCAACATATACCAGATGGGTCTTTATGACTCTTTTGATTCTTACCTTGCAGGCAGGTTTCATCCACCAAGGCAACACTGCCTTTCACATGCTCGGTAGTTGCATAGGATGGATATCCAAGGGGCAGATTTCCTAGGGCAGTAGGATGGATAATCCCATCTATAAAAAAAAAGCATAGCACTTTCAATATTTTCACAATGGTTTTTAACTTTACAACTCTGAAATTAAAACTATCAGATAAGATTCCTCTAAACTGTCATGGCCTTTAATAAAATTAACCTGTACAGATGGGTCTTTATGACTCTTTTGATTCTCACCTTGCAGGCAGGTTTCATCTACCAAGGCAACACTGCCTTTCACATGCTCAGTAGTTGCATGGGGTGGATATCCATGGGGCGAATTTCTTGGGGCTGTAGGATGGATAATCCCATCTATACAAAAATAAGCATAGCATTGTCACTATTTTCAAAATGGTTTTTAATTTTATAACTCTGAAATAAAAGCAATTAACATCAGATAAAATGAATTCTTATTATCCTGAATTTTATGTTTACTCATTTGATTGTTTTTTATTTTCAAGAGTTTAAACATGGGATAAAAATGTCAATTCGATCAGTAATAACTACAAGAATTTGATATGTGTTTTAGGCATGTAGATTGTATATATGCAATGTATTCTTTTCATTATTATGTACTTTTAGCCTGGTGTATGAAAAGTGAAATTTCTTTTACCCCCAGGCCTAAGACATGATGATAGACTGAGAACAAATTTTGATAACTGACTAGATACAATAAAACTGGTTTAGTACGAGCACAGATATTGCAAATTCATGGATATAGCAAAGTTATCTTGGATCCCCAGCTATATAAATTTAACCAATTCCTTTATACGTATAAACTGTATAATGAATTATGGATATAGCGAAGTAATTTCATAGGTCCCAGCGACTTTGTTATAACCGAGTTTCACTACAGTCATTAGAAACATTGAAATTTTCATGATTAATACATAGGCGTCGGAACTGGGGGCTTAAATTTTATAGGCATTGAAAATTGGGGGGTACCTTTTTTTGGTGGTTTTGTCCCACCACTTTTAATTACCCCCCGCCCCTACTTTCAATTTGCTTCCGACACGCCTATGTAATATAATCAAAATTGTAAAATTCAATTACCATTAACTGTCATTTCTACTTCCTTAGACAAAGCTACGGGCAACTCTCTGTAACGTATCACTGACTTCGTCACTTCTTTTCTTGAAAAGACCGGAGCTAACAAATGGCAGGTTCAATGCTGTGATAAAGTTGTTAGCCTGTGTGGGCCCTATCCCAGAGTGATGGATTGCTAAAAAAGTAGATTGTTATAAACATATATGCACAGGTCTTGTACAATCACTAGATTTAGCTATAGCTTAAATTACCTATGTAGCTTTATTTACATGTACTACCCAAAATAACTTTATTAAGTTACTTCTACAGTAAATCATACTTTTTCTTGCATTTACATTTTTCTAAGAATACGCACAAAATTGCACTCTGCAGTGATAGAATATTCAACATTTAACTCATTTGAAAACAATTTGTGAAAAAAAAATCACTCTAGAATATGTTTATTTTTCTGCGCAATTACCGTCAACGTAAAAAAAAAATGAGTCTATAAATTGCATAACCTGACCTACCTGTTGCCAGTTTGGAATTGACATCGAAAACAGGTGGTCACCTGTGCTTGTTAGGCACACGATGTACCTTCCCCATAGCGGCCCGCACATACCGATAACGACTGTGGCATCTCAGAACTAAGTGGCCAGTTATCCCAGCGGGAAGTACACCAATAGCTTGTTTGAATTTTAGTTCCAGGTCACAGTAATTACACTTCATATTTTCAAAAAGACATTGCAAATCAACAACAAAACGCGTATGAGTAACAGATCTGAGTTTACCGGAAAAAAATGTGTCATTAACAAAATCAAATGAAGATGAAGCTGGAAACATGGAGTAAGAGTGATCTAAAGATGGGATTGTTGTGTTTTCAGCAACTGGTGGACAAGCAGATGAACATTCGTGTGGCAAAGAACTGGAACCTGACGGTGCGTTTGTCGGCAAGTCTGCATTACATGACTGAACAGCGTTTTTCCTACACGTTCGTGCTTTAAAAATATTTTCTTGCTTACATTGTCGATTCCTTGCCTTCACCTCTTTAGCAAATCGTCCTCTGTATCTCATGGTCAGATCTTATAGTTCATATCGGTTATTTGACAGATGGTACGTTGTCGTCTGACGCAAGACGTAAACAGCGCCAGAAATTTAAAGGAATGTCGTAAAAATCGAAAATTGTAAGGAAAAAAATATAATAGTTTATAAGCATTGGACATTGTTTACTTTAAACCAATTTTTTTGTATTGTATGCGTAATTTTTTTTTTAATTAGCCTATTACGCATACTGGCAATCTCTTGGAAATCTACAACAAACGAAAACCATCATGCGCGCGACGATGCGCAAAGAGCGATAACTCGAACTATAGTCGGCCCCCTTAAGTGAAAAATTAGTGCCCTCTTTGTTTAAAAAAAGATTAAGATATGAATTGGAGACTTGTTAGAGTTTGTAGATTTTGACTACTAGATGAGGGGAATAAACTTTTTGTGCGTTGTCATTTCCAGATACTAATTAAAAAAGCAGAAGTCTTATTTTTGTCTCTGTTTTTCTTTTATATAAGTAGGGTTAATAGAGGCTCTTCTAAAATGATTAATATATATATTAACGGAGTTTACACAGACAGTCACCATTTTGGACTACTGCTTAAAATTTAGAAATGCAAATATCTAGAATTTGGATTGATGAATATATATATTATATATATATATATATATATATATATATATATATATATATATATATATATATATATATATATATATATATATATAATAAAACAATATAATCGTCAAGAGTTAACAATATTTATTAACCCACAAACCTGAATACACAACAAAGGCCGGAGAGGAGCCTGGCACAACGTGCGTCTTTGTGTGTAGGAATCTAGATTATGAAGTGACGCTCGGTACCCCGAGCCCGATGATAATATAGATATACATGTATATATAGGGTACTTGTACCACACCCTCCCCTCCTTAAAAAACAGCCACATATAACTTTAAAGATATACAATCAGACATTAACTTTTTAAGACATGGAAGCTGAAATAGCACAACTAAATTTGTACATTTAGAAACATGGTGAACAGTCCATCTGCGAGAAGAAAAAAATTAAAGTTCATAGATGCGTGCCGCGTGCCTCCTGTTCGCACGCAGCACCTCCCGCAAAGGAACTTCCTTTAAACGCGCGACTTCCTCCGCAATCTGGATGATTACCTTTGGTCCACCGGCAAGGTAGGGACTGTCCGTCTCCAGTACAATACGGTCCAGACTAAGGAACCGCAAAACCTCCTGTAGGCTCCTGTCCAAAAAACCTTGGTTGAAATACCAAATATCACAGAAGGTAGCCTCTCCAGCCACTCCCTGGCCTCACCAACTGACCCGGTGAAACAGTGTCGGTGGAATATGTGGCCTTCCATATCCAACATCTCTATAGCAAGCAGCACATGTCTGGCGGCCTCACCTGTCCCTGCATCCCTACAATGAAATATAACCGGCTTCTTTGTCTCCCTAGCCAAGACCAATAATTCCGAAAGCAGTTCTGTCTGGCTCTGAAGTACAGCTCCCTTGCATTTTGATCTGGAGCATGGCTGTGGGCAATTGCAGGTGGTGGTCAAGTCGATTCCTATTTCTTCAATGGCCACACACTCGGACAAGGACACAAGCCTCCCAGGCTCAGATATGATATCGGGGGTAATTTGGCCAGCAAGGTGGGGGGGGGATTCCAAATGACAGCCGTATCTGTTGGTGGCTACTGGTATGGCTTCTCCACAGAGGCCAGTGCTTTGGAAAAACATAGTTTGCCACGGCATATAGCAGGCGGAAATAACGGAGACTATCTGGAAAAGAAAAAATATCACTGCAATCAGAGACTATGCCCCTTGCAAACAGCTGATCCAGATGGAAATGAGAGTCAACAATGAGATTGTCCGTGTTCGAATAAGCACTCAAGTCACACGACTGCCTCCAAGTTCGAAATGCGTGGTGTTCCTCTGGGGGAAACTGTCGCAGGAAGGTGCAGATAATCTGCAAAAGAATGAGGCAGATTACATGATTGGGTGGCGAACCCTCAAACCTGAAGGGAACGTGACTGCTGTAATTATCCGCATAAAATGACATATGTCTAGGCTCCGCATCTGTAAATCCTCCAGCAGCTGGGTACAATTGACGCTCAACGACGAATTCCAATAACTGTTCCAAAGTTGCGATTCCCACCAAATCTACCAGGAAAAGCAAGGACCCATGCACCAGACCACACCAAGTGTGGAGACCCTGGTCTTCGGATTGCCCTACAGATGAGAGCGCATGAGAAGAACCAGGTCCACTTTGGTCAGCATCTCTCAATGGCGGGTCCCCGACTCCACTCCAAAATGGTGGAAGATGGATCCGCTGGACATGCCGTTTGACATGGCCACTCAGGCTAATATTGCATAAGGGGCAGTGATAAGAGGCTCTCTCCTGTCCGGCAGATCTGTCTTCACACGCTTGGTTCCCTGATGCGACTGGGGCTTCAACCTCATCAGATGAACAACGAACTTCGTCCAGAACCATTAGATCCGCCGAGCAAAGGCTGCTAGTGTTTGTTGACCAAACTTCATCATGGCTGCTCTGGGAAGGCGTCAGATCCTCATTATAGTCTGGAACAAACTTACTCTCATCTAGCTCCTCATCAGAATACATCCTGAAAACAATGGAGATAATAAAAACTCGTATAAGCTGTTTTTGAGTTCATGAACACTACTCAAATTGTACATGCACATACAGAAACTGTTGCATGTAGTATTTGTCGTATGCATTTGCAAACACAAACAAAATTTAAAAAAAATAGTTATATGAGTGACGATACGTCCCTACATATCTGTTAACTTCCAACTTATATACACTATATACAGAACCCTTAAGATCCTATAATTGAAAATCTTTGTACTTGGTGGGGGGTCGGACTGACCTCCCTGATCTGGTCTGATGAGAAATCTCACCAGAGTTGTCATAATCAACGAGACTATTATCAAGACTCGCGGACTCTAAACCTGATTCACTTAAGTCAGCTTCATGATCTGTCAAAGGACAGCAAATACTATCCATATCCGTCAGTTCCTGACAACCAAAATTGTCAGTCTGAAAGTAATTATGCCTCAGTCTACGAAGCCACACAGGAATTTCCCGGTCTTGACATAACTTTAATTTGTCATGGTGGATAACACAGTTTCTTCCGGTCCCTAATTGTGTATAGTGGGGGTCTACAGGAAACAACCAAGTAAGGACCAGCCCAAGGAGACCTCAACTTTTGTGACTGGCCAACTTTAGTGGTAGAATCAATTTTGTAAACCACATCTCCTTGGTTATAGTGGTGTTCCACGACTCGCAGGTCATAATCACGTTTTTGTCTATGCTGTGCTTGTTTAAGATTCTGACGAGCACAAGCATGTGCATCTGCAAGTCGACGCCCAAGATCAGCACTCCATTCATCTGCATTTTGTGGTGACAGGTTTCCTGGCAAGTTACCAGTGATCAGATGTACTGGTTGGATAACTTCTCTACCAAGCATTAGTCTGTTTGGTGTATATCCTGTCTGTCTGTGTACAGTTGAATGCAGAGCCATAGCAAGAAGTGGTAAATCCCTGTCCCAGTTCTTGTTGTCTTTCTCAATGAAACATCTTATCATTTGAAGGACTGTTGTGTTGTACCTCTCAACTTGTCCATTTGAAGAGGGATGATAAGGGGTGGTTCTGGTCTTGGCTATTTGCAGTTCATCACACAATGCTTGGAACAAGTTGCTGTCGAAATTGCGACCTTGGTCAGTATGCACTTCCATAGGGCACCCAAATGTGACAATGAAATGGGTTACAAATTTATGTGCTACGGACAATGCTGTTTGATCTGGCAGGGCTGCCATCTCAATCCATTTAGTAAATTGGTCTATCATCATTAATATGTAGTTATTCCCAGCCTCACTGGTATTGAATGGACCCAAAATGTCTAAGTGGACACGTTCCATAGGGAAGCCTGCATGGTACGACTTTAGGGCAGCTCTCGGTTTTACATGAGGCTTCTTGTTTTGATTACAGTTACTGCATCCTTTGACATAATCTATACAATCTTGTGATAAATTGTGCCAGTAAAAGGACTGTTTGACCCTACTGTAAGTCTTCTGCTGACCCAAGTGACCTGCTGTCTTAGTGTCATGACATAACTCCAAAACTGTTTTCTTAAGACTGGTAGGTACCACGAGGCAGACCCTCCTGTCAACTTTATCTATCCATTCATAATATAGTACACCATTCTTGATGTGAAGATGTTCCCTAAATAGCCAAAGTGCCCTAGCTGCAGGGCTTTCTAAATGGAGCTGTGACTTTGTTGGATCTTCTTTATTCTCAAGCCAAGTTATAACTATACCAAGATCTGCGTCCTTCCGCTGCAAGCGAGCAATGTCCTCGGCTGAATAACCTTGGACCCAGGATACTGGAGAAGAGTGATCATCCTGCAGTTTGGCTGCAAAGATATTAAAGACATCATCTGTATTTTCTGCCTGACTGTTGTTTATCGGAATACACCTCCTTGCTAATGGTATACCATCATCTACATCCTCCGCAAATCGCGACCATTGGTTATGAGCTCTAACGCAGAAATGACATCCACCACAAAGAAGACTTTCAGGTGAAGAACCCGCAACATAGCAGTCACATGTAAGTCCATTATCCGGCAGTCGACTCATGGCGTCAGCATTGGTATGTTTATTTCCTGGGCGATGCAAGATTTCCATATCAAATTGTGCCAGTTCTTCCAACCAACGTGCAAGCTGACCTTCGATGTGTTTGAACCGCATAAGCCAAACGAGGCTGTTATGGTCAGTGCGAACCAAAAATCGTCTGCCCAACAAATAATGTCTAAAATGCCTACAGAATTTTACTGCGGCTAGAAGCTCTTTCCTTGTTGTACAGTATTTCCTCTGCGGTTTCAGGAGCACATGACTTGCATAGCAGATAACGGTTTCCTTCCCGTCCTGGATTTGTGAAAGTATTGCACCTATGGCATGATCAGAAGCGTCAGTATCCAACACGAATAGACCTTCCGGGCGAGGATAAGATAGGCAAGGAGCTGTAAT